ACCGGGGCAATAAAGTGAAACTAGTGAACACCCAAGAAGCCCACTGGCCTTATTGGTAGACCGTTACTCCCTGGGAAAACAGACATGCCTCACACAAAAGCAAAACGACAACCCGAAAACTCCAGACCTCCCCGGCTCCCCCACTGCTAGCAGGCCTGCCCAGGTGACACAACCCAAGGATCTGCTGGTGCCTGTGGGGCTCACCTGGGCCTGAGCACAGAAGGAAGCCACCGAGCCACACGTGGAGGAGCATGAAGCCCACAAAGGCACTGCACCCCTTGGATCTCCCCAAGCCCCATGAGGGAGGCGGGCAGGGACCATCACCAAGAGAAAGCACAGGAAGCTAGAGCGCATGCAAGCAGGGGAGGGGCAGCAGGCTGCAGGCCTGCCCAGCACCCCCCGCCCCAGGGCACCACCTACCACCACGCACAAAGGCCCACCGACAGGGACACACAGGGCCGAAGTGAAACCGTGCATTAAATCCAGGAACCCGGACCAGGAAGAGCCACAGAAAAGAGCCCAAGGCCCAACACCCACTCAGAAAGAGCCCCCAGGGACCAACGAGGGGCCCACAGGAACAGGCAGCACCAGGCTGTACACCCCCAGGTCTAAATACCCTTGAATGGTCACATCTCCCAGAACTGAAATTTAAAGTAGAGGAAAAAACCAACTCCAGGAGATGGGGCGGGAACCAAACAAAGTGAAGAAAACATGCCGGCTCCTGGCCGCCGCTGTCAGACTCCCACCGACCCCCTCCTCCCCGCAGAGCTGACTCATTACCCTAAAATCGCGGCCCGGAAAGGCTTCACACAGAAACCCTCAGGCTACAGAGGAGCAGTGTCTGGCCCAGTTAAGCTTCCAGAAAAGCCTGGAGAGGTGGGCGTCGAGGTGAGGGCAAGTCCCAGCCCCTCCGCAGGGCTGACCCCTCGCTTGGAGGAGGTGTCCCCACCGGCCTGCCCTCCGGGAGGCCCAGGGCAGCGATGCTCAGACCCCCTCCTCCCCGCCCTCGGAATCTGCCACTCCGCTGTGCGTCATGATTCCTCAGGAAAGACGATGGGCGGGGGGAGGGATTCCTCATTCTAACGCGGAACCAAACGTGCTGAGTTTTACTTCTCCGCCATCTTAGAGAGCATCCCTGTGATCTACTCCGACATGTAAGGACCACGTCGTCCTGAGCAGAGCACACATCCGGTCCCCCTCTAAGATGGGACGGGCAGGGTTTGCAAGGCACAGTGATGCCCCCTGCCCCCCGAGGAAGCAGGAAGGTCAACAGCAGTTCTCCCTGCTACTGTAAGTGGAAAACACATCAGTGTCCCCCTCCGGGGCAGCCAGTGTCCACCCAGGACCCACCTGCAGCTCAGTCCCCATCAGCGATGGACAGTCCTCCCCAGCCACGCCCACTGAGCCCTTCACAGCCAAAGGCGCAGGCTCCCCATTACGCCAGCGGCACCCTAGACCAAGCAGAGGGCATCTGACTTCAGATACAAAGGTACAGATACCTCAGACGCTGATTAAGAAAGTCAGGACAGTCGAAAGGTAAGCAGGAGGCGCGGGGAAGGCCAGCCGGAGACCCCTGCTGCAGCATCCCGGAACTTTCAGGCTCCCATCTACCCAGGGCTGAAGGCCAAAGGCGAGGGCAGCCAGCAGGCCCTGTGGACGCTGCGTGGGGTGACGTGAGCTCCCACGGTGGCGCACCATAAAGGGACAGGCACCGACACAATGCCGGCAGTGGGAAGGGCAGGCAGCACTCTGATCACACTGGGCCCCGTGAAACACAGCGTCCAGGCCCCAGAAACACAACTCCGCTCCGAGGAGCACAGTCACATGAAATGGCACTCACAGGTCCCTCACCTCAACAGAGGCCTGGCCTGGCCCTGGGCCGTGGGGCCGGTGCAGGGACAAGAGTGGGGCAGAACATGGAGGAGGGGAGAGCCCGCGGTCACCAGGCCCTGAAGACACCTCAGTTTAGCTCAGCAACATTCACGTAATGACACAGGACCCCAAAGGGAAACAAAGGTAATGGGACATGGTCCCTGCCTTGGGGGAACTTGCAAACCACGTAGATGAGGTGTGCAGTCAGCCAGCCCAGCCCACCCGGCACCTCCCCTCGGCTGGGATGGCCCCACCTCCTAAGCCTGGAGCCTCACCCTACCGGTAACCTTAGAGACATCACCTCCTCCCTGAAGCCTTCCCTGACACGTCCTGGCCCTCCTCAACAAGACTGAACTGGGACTTCTACCCGTGGGTGCTTCTGGGTCCTGTCCATCACTCCAAGGCTCCATTCCACCCAGGGAGGTGGAAGACTCAGATCCTTGTGTTTCCCCACTAGACTGCCCGCCAGTCAACACATCTGCGCCGGGCCCAGCCCAGTAAGAATGAGGGCTGACGTGGTCGTCTTAGCGCCAACACCGAGTAAGCCATCCCCACGACTAACAGCCCACCAAGGGAACTGAACACAGGCCCACGAGTTCTGCGCACCACTGCCAGCCACCCGTGGGGTCGGCTCCCTGAGAGGCCACCTCGGGCTCCAGAGCGGCCCTCTCCCCCTTGGCACTGTGCACGGTCGGGCCAGAGAGTCCCCTGGGGGCCAGGCACCCTGGTCTCTGCCCACTTCATGCCAGGAGCACACACTCCCTGCCCCAGATGTTAACAGGAAAGGTCCTAACACAGGACCTCATGTCCCCTGGGGGCGGCATCACCAGCGAAGTGGCCCTGCTCTCTGTGGGGAGGTCAGCAGCTAGCAGCAGGCCCTGGCCTCAGACGCCCTGGACTTGAACCCTACCCCACCGCTCAGCATGCTGGGCGAGCCACGTGACCTCCCTATACCTCCCCCGTAAGCTCTCTCCTAGACTGGCTGCACAGTCAGAGGGATCTGTTCATGACGAGGGCCCGAGACAGTCTCTGCCCCACAGTAAGCGATGGATAAACACTAGCTGCTATCATGAAATGAACTGCTCACAAAAAGCCTGCTCAGAAAGCAAAGCAAAGATGGTTGATGCGCAAGCGGGTGGAGGCAGAAGGCAAGCACAGTAATCGGCCCCTTCCCCAGCATGAGCCGCTTGGGGCATCCTTCACCTGGCTTTTACAGGAGGAGGCCACCCCAAGGCTCCCCACCCTGGCAGGATGCAGCCCAACTGCATACGTGGCCATGGGCTGAATGCCGTGAGGCCCCAAAGTCCGTATGCGCAAGTCCTTCCCCAGTCGGGACGGTGTTAGGAAGAAGGGCCTCAGGTTTAGAGGAAGTCAGGAGGGTGGGGTCCCCTGATGGGATCGGTGCTCCTGAGGAGTCACGAGACAGCCTGTTTCCCCTCTCTAGTCTCCCCCATGATGGGATACTGTGAGAAGGCAGCTGTCTGCGCCCCGAAGAGAGCCAGGACCCAACCGTGTTGGCCGCCTGACCTGAATTCCAGCCTCCAGAACTAGGAGACCTAACTTTCTGCTGCTCGTGCACCATCGGCCTGTGGTGCTCTTCGCAGCAGCCCCACGGCCTGAGAGAACAGGAGCCTGCCCGCTCAGCCGAGATGGGCCCCCACCTCTACGGGTGCTGAGGCCCGCCCCCCAGCAACTGCTCAGATGGCAGGTGTCACAGAGGCTCTACCCAGGCCCCAGAGGCGTGGGGCACAGCAGAGGGCAGAGGAATCCGGGGCACCTGCCAACTTGAACAGGCACCCAGGCTGAGGGCACTGCCCGGCCGGGGCGCGCAGGCGGTAATCGGCATAGGATGCGTCAGTCTCGGGGAACCCCGACCCACTCGCAGAAGCCCTAACCAGATTTTCATTTTTAAACTCAAATACTTTGAAGTTCAGCCTATTTTGGAGAAAAACAGTTCAGATTCCAATATGAAAACTGGTCAAAGGAACTAATTCACAGCGTTCTCACCCACGAAGACGTGTGATGTTCCAAACATTAGTCAGCTCCCGGGAAGGGTTTCTGAAAACTAGACAGGGGGATGAACGCCAGCTCCGTGGTCCCAGCAGGGCAAGCTGAGGCTGCCCGATGCCCTCTTCTCTCCTCTGTAAACAAGGGGCAGTCCCCCTGACCCCCAGAGACCCTGGGAGAGGGAGGCCGTGAGTCCGCCGCGGTGCAGGCCGGCCCCTCTGCCACCAGCTCCCCACGCCTCACTGCTTCACCTCACTGATGCTCGTGTCACCTTCTCAGGAGAGCATCTGGACGCTCTGACTGAAGATTACGCCCCAGGTCCAGGCTGCTGTCGCCACCTCCCACCTCTGTCTCGACCCAGGGCGCTTGTCTCCTCCCCGCACGCTCCAGGCCTCCTTACTGACCCAACGTGTAGGTCGGTGCTTGTCCCCCTCACCAGAACACACACTCCAGGCCAGGGACTTCCTGGGGGCACCCCAAGCCCTAAGAGCCTGACCCATCACAGAGGCTCATCAAATACTGGGTTATTTTACATCATAGACACCCCCAAAAACAAAAAGCAAAGCTACTGAGAGCCGTCTCCAGAAAGGCTACTGAGCACCAGGCACGGGGTACAAGACAGGCGCTGATCGCATCCTTGAGTTTATGACCTGGAGGCAGTCATTCCACACCCCAGACTCTGCCCCCTACAGACTCTGAGCCACGTGCAGGTGTCCCGGCGGGGGAGGGGGTGTCATTGGAAGCTGCCGGAGGAGGTGCAGCCTCTGAACGTGCAGTTGGCCTGGCCCCTGAGCTGGAAATGTCCCCCTGGGACAACCGGGGCACACTTAGAAGGGAGACACAGTCCCCTGGGGCCTGGTGCTCACTGTGGGCCTCTCACAGCCAGGCCACGAAAGCCACACACCACACCCTCCACCCGGAGGAGAGAAGCACTCAGCTGGGGACACAAAGAAAAGTCTACGGCTTCTCCTGCCTGGGAAGGCCTGTGGGCACGTGGATCACAACCTCAAGGTCTTCCAAGGGCACGAGCTCCTGTGGCAAAGAGGACGGAACGCCCGCTAACCTCCCGCACAGAGGGGACTCCAGCCCCTCTCCCTCGCAGCACTGCATGTCATCTCCTCGCGCCCCCGCCCACCTGCAGGACAGGATGTGTGGCTCTCGCTGACGGACTTCACCAGCCGGAGGTCACCGCTCGGGACCTGAAGGAGGCTCTGCCGAAGGCTGTGGCTCCTGCTCGGGGCCCGGCGCCTCCTGCGGCTTGCGGCGCTCCTGCCGCTGGCTGTGGTTGCGCAGGACGCGGTGGGCCGTCTCCATGACCACGTCGGTGTTCAGGCTCTCGGCTGCCACGGCCAGGAGCCCGTCATCGTCCTCGCCGGCATCCCAGGCGTCGCTGGTGTTGCTCTCAAACTCCGGGAAGGTGCTGATGCTCTTGGCCTTCACGGGTGTGGCGGGCGCCTTGGGCGCGCCCTTGAGCAAGCTGCAAAGCAAAGGCAGACTTCAGCTGTCCCCTCGGAGGCTGGAGCGGAGTCACCCCACGACCGGTCAGAAAGGAGCCCATGGATGAAAGGTGCACATTCAAGCTTCCAGTGTCAACTGAGCTGAGGGTGAAGAGCAAGCACAACCCAAAGAGGCATCCGAGAGAGGACTCCTGGGGCACCCAGGGGGCTCAGTCGGTTAAATGTCTGCCTTCGGCTCAGGTTGTGATCCCGGGGTCCTGGGATCGAGCCCCACATCGGACTCCCTGCTCGGTGGGGAGTCTGCTTCTCCCTCGCCCCCCTCCCTACCCCCCCACTCTTGTGCCCTCGCTCTCCTTCTCAAATAAATAATCCTAAAAAAAAAAACAGAAGAGGACTCCTAGGATTCGGGGGCAGGAAGGAGAGGCTCTCGAGGGGCAGTACCGCTCAGCAGTCTCTGCTCAGTGACAGAAGCCACTCAGGAGGAACCCCAGCACCGCAGTCACGGCATTCACAGGGAGTCCCCAAACCTCACACGGGCCAGTGCCCGCAAACCTCCTAAGGCAGCAGTGGGGGCGGCGGGGGCAGGAGCGGCTGTCCTTCGGCGTGCAGATGCGACACAGCACCACTAGAGCAAGAGCCCCCGCGGGGGGCCCAGTGACACCCGCCAACACGGGCGGGGGGTCACACCAGCCCCCTGCGTGGCTCTGGTGGAGGAGCCAGACACAGGGGCAGAGCGTGCAGTGGAGGGCAAGGGAAGTGAGCTGACCACCGAGAACAGGCCCGGGGCCAGGCCCTCCCCGTCAGCTAAGGGGGTGCCAGCTTCGTGCTCTCCTCCACTTTGGGCTGGGCTTCCTCCTCTGCCCTTGTCCGGAGGACCAGTCGTGCGAGGCCCTGGCGCGTGTCTGCTCGAGGGAAGACCACGCTGCTCCCCTCAGGACCCCGAGGAGGCCGGCGGGTCACCAGGACGCCCAGGCGCGTGCGTGATGCAGCATGACCACAGGCCTCACTTACGTGCCGTGTAACAGTGGGTCGAAGGGGGGGTGCTGGGCGCCGTACACATGCTGGATGCTGTTTAAAAAGAAAGGAAAACCGATTAGCTTCTCTCCAGCTTCCTCAAGAGCCCACACTAACTCGGGAAAAGGACCAGTTCCCAGTAACCTACACGCCTGAGCAGCAACTCTCCCTCAGCTGCCACGGGTCCCGAGGGCCCGTCTGGAAGGGATGAATGGCGCCACACAGGTCCACGCCACACACACAACGGGGCATTCAGCCTGCCGGGCAAATGGGCCTCAGCCCGGGGAGCCGCAGCCCTGACCGCATCGGCAGGGCCTCAGGCGCCGCTGCCGACGAGGCTGCTGGGAGCTGGGAGCCACTCAGCATCGCCCAGTTCCAGCAGCCTCTGCTCCCGGACCGTGTGCCAGCGGCAGGACTACGAACTAATGCTGAAATGCCCGTCTGGAAATTCCCATCTGCTGCCATTTCGTCAATAACAGAATGCAGAATCACGAAAAGAAGATAAATGTGTTTTTTAAAGGCTTAATGATTTTATTATAAAAGTTTTCTGGGGGCGCCCGGGGGGCTCAGTCGGTTAAGCGTCTGTCTTCAGGTCAGGTCATGATCCCAGGGTCCTGGGATCGAGCCCCACATTGGGCTCCCTGCTCCGCGGGAAGCCTGCTTCTCCCTCTCCCACTGCTGCTCCCCCACTCGTGCCCTCTCTCTCTCTCTCTCTCTCTCTCTCCCTCTCTAATTAAGTAAAATCTTTTTTAAAAAGATAAAAATTAAATTTAAAAATAAAGTCTTCTGTTCATCAGAGTAAACTTGGAAAACAGATGGAAACAAAACAGCCCCCGTGGCAGACACCAGGGCGGTCCACTGAGTGGCCGCACCCGCACCCCTTCCTCGGTGGGGGCGTCCAGCCAGGGGAGGCCCTGTGACCCAGCGCAGCTCAGTCACCAGCAGTGTGGGCCCTTCCTCATCTGCCTGGAACACACATGTGAGGCCTAGAGGTTCCCCAGCCTCATGCCACCATGAGAAATGAGCAGGAGATATCAACCACCCGAGAACGCGGGCACGGCAGGAAGATGAGAAAGAGCACGGGTCTCGGGGGCACTGCAGCCCTGCCAACACCTTCATCTTAGCCCAGCACCAGAACTATAAGACAGCAAGTGTGTATTATAAGCCAATAGGGTTATGCTGATTTGTTACAGCAGCAGCAGAAAACCAAAAGAGAACAGAATGGTGACAGACAGGTGACAAAGCCATCATCTTGGCTTATGGAAGCTTAAAGGTCTCTGTGGTTAAGTCAACCTCACTTTTATGCGTTACACGGGGCTCTCCTTTGAGGACTCTACTTAAAAAGGCCCACCCCCAACTGTCTTAGTCCATCCCGGCTGCTATAACAAAAATACCACGCATGTGGCAGCTTAAAAAAAAGACATTTATTCCCCACAGTTCTGGAGGCTGGACGTCCAAGATCAAGGTGCTGGCAGATTTGGTATCTGGTGAGGGCCTCAGCTGGTGCCTTCTGCTGCGTCCCCACCCAGCGGAGGCAGGGAAGCTCTCTGGGGTCTCTTTTATAAAGGCTCCAATCCCACCCTGGGGGACTCCAGCCTCAGGACCTCCTCACCCCCTCAAAACCCCCACCTCCTAACACCCTCAGTCTGGTGGGTAGGGCTTCCTGTGAGTTTTGGGAGCGCACGAACATTCAGCCCAGCCGACTTACTGAGATGGCATAAATCTCCAACTGTGTCCTAGTTCCACACTTGTGTGGTTTTATTTTTTACCCTTGAGTATTGAGTCACCTAGAATTTATTTTATTTTGCTACAGACTGTAGAAAACTTTTTTTTTTCTTTTGACAGAGAGAGAGATAGCGATAGCAGGAACACAAGCAGTGGGAGTGGGAGTGGGAGAAGGAGGCTCCCCGCCGAGCAGGGAGCCCGATGTGGGGCTCGATCCCAGGACCCTGGGACCATGACCTGAGCCGAAGGCAGACGCTTAAGGATTGAGCCACCCAGGCGCCTGTAGAAAACTTTTTAAAAAAATAATCCACTGCTCCAATGACATTGGTTAAAAACCTATCCTATTCCCTACTGGTTTGCGGACACTGTCTTCAATACGCAGGAGATTACTCTATGCTGGGGCATTTTTTCAGTTTTCCATTCATTCCTCCATGTCTGTGCCTGTGACACAACATTTTAATTACAGAAAATGTTCCCTTTTATATCCTAAAATGTTTCAGCAAAATTTAACGGACATTCGATAGCCCCCACGTTGCGACGGGGTTGTGAGGAGTACGAGGCAGGCAAAGACAAGCACACTGGACTCCAAACTCGCACGAACCTTTAAGTTTACCTACAAAAATAAAAAAAAATGAATTGGCGCTTATAATGTTCTTGGACAACAAAAACATGGTAAACTGGAATATTATTCAGTGAAATAGTCATCAGCTAAAAAATAAAGTGCTAGCTCACGCTGTCACACGGAAGAAACTTGAAACCATCACGCTACGCGTGGGAAGCCAGTCATGAAAAAACACCTATTCTGGGGCGCCGGGGTGGCTCAGCCGTTGGGTGTCTGCCTTCGGCTCAGGTCATGATCCCGGGGTCTTGGGATCGAGCCCCACGTCGGGCTCCCTGCTCCGAGGGAGGCCTGCTTCTCCCTCTCCCACTCCCCCTGCTTGTTCCTGCTCTCACTAACACTCCCTCTCTGTCAAATAAATAAAAATCTTAAAAAAAAAAAACCCTATTCTATGATCTCACTGACATGAAATGTCTAGAAGGGAGACAGAAGGGAGACTAGTGGTTGCCTGGGGTGGAGGATGGGAGACTGGGGTGACAGCAGAAGACTACAGGGCTTCTTCCTGAGGGGACAAACATATTCTAACGTTGACTGTGGCGACGGATACACCGCAGTACCACTGACTTTCACCCCTTAAATGAGGGAATGGTGTTGTACGTGAATTTTAATGGGTGAACTATTATTATATGTGAGTCTCAATGAAGATGTAAGTTTTTAAAGGCAGCACAGTTTCCACCTGGTTCTCTTGGGTTGTCTCTTGGAACCCAGCCACCAGGCTTTGAAGAAGCCCACGTGTAAGCACTAGAACCACAGCTTCCAGGGGGTGTCCCAGCTGATGATGGCCGGCATCAACCTCGACAGGCGTGAGTCACCAGCCTTCTTCTGATTTCCCTCCCAGCCTCTGAACCTTCCCAGTGACACCATGGAAAAGAGACCAGTCTGACCCACAGAATCCAGGAGGGTTTGGGGGTTTGTTGTTGTTGTTGGAAAGAAAGAGTATCAGCCCACGGAGGTCATGCACAACCCCTCTGTCGTGGTCCCTTTCCAGAAATCTCTTGGAGGCTTCCCCGACCTTGGTAGAAAGTTTCCTGTTTTAAGAAACAAAGGGCCTGGGTAATTGCTCTAGGCTTTAGCTTCCTCGTCTCGGAAATGGGAATAAGAACGTGTAAGAAATGAGACAGCCATAAATGGCAGCAGCTTGACTACCGCCAAGTGACCTACAGACAGCATTCACCGGTACTATGCACCTACCTTGCTGGCTTGCACCCTTCCCTTATGTCTCAGTACACGAATAGGGCTCAAAACCAGCAGGCAGTGGGCCTCTGCCCTCTATGTGCAAGGCATTTCCATGGGTCTTGCAGTGTTACCACACGCTGCAGGCCCCTTGCCTCCCAGGAAAACGCCAATGCATTAATTCTTCATGGGCACACCACTTGTGTTTATTGAGCAGAAAATGTTCCAGCAAAGTTCAAGCTCAGACTAAAAGGCATCTCGTTTTATCTTATTAAAATTGCATTTTTATCTGGTCTTGCATAGCCAAAAAGAAAAACAGGCTTCATCTAAAGCCATTTTAAAAGAATAAGTAGCACATCATGAAATCATTCTTTAAAAAATATGTTCACCAATAAACTTTTTAATGAATTGTACTGCTTAAAAACACCACAGTAACTCATTGCTTTAAAGAGCACCCAAGTGATTCCTCACAAAAAGCAGATACACACGACATAATGCTACTTCTAGGCACACGCCATGAAAACCCCTTGTGTAAGGACGCAGGAGGCAGGTTCAGCGATGTCGCTAACGCTAAAAAGAAAAAAAAAAAATTAAGAAAAACTTTTATCCATCATCAACTGAAGAATGAATTCACATTATCCCTTTGTCCATTATCAACTGAGTAACAAATAAACAAACTGGAACATACACCTATAATGGAATACTAACTACAATAAAAACGAAGGAACTACAAGAACCAAGATCGGTGAACTTACAAGCCTACCACTGAAGAGTAACTTGAATATGCACAGTATGATGTCATCTATAAAAAGTTTTTAAAACGAGAAAATGAAACTATCTACCGTGTCGGATACATACATGGTGGTCAAAACTCCCAGCTCATGATGGTGATGAAAACAAACGGAGAATAGGATGGGAGCGGAGGGCTGGGGGTGGAGGGGACTCTGGGGCCGGGAAGAGGATGCAACGGCTTCAACTCCGAAGAGCCAAAGTGCGCAAACAGTCCCGAGGCCCATCGGTGGGTGACCAGGCACACGCCGGAATATACCGTCAGCTTCCAACAAGGAATGAAGGGCTGACAGCCGCTCCCACGTGGATGAAGCCTGGAAACATCACGCGCAGCGAAAGGAACCAGTCACGAAGACCACATTCATATGATCCCACACACATGAATAAGCACATGTCCAGAATAAGCAAGTCTACAGAAACAGAAAGCAGATGAGTGGCAGCCAGGGGCTGGGGAGGAGGGACTGGGGAGTCACGGCTGGTGAGGCAAATGCTCTAAAATTGACTATGGTGATGATCGTCCAACTCCACAGACTAAAAACACTGAACTGTACACTTTAAGTGAGTGAAATAGAGGACAGGTAAATGACGTCTCCACAAAGATGCTGAAAGGAAGGGAGGAAAGGGGGGGGGAGGGAGGGAGGGAGGGAGGGAGGGAGGGGGAGAGGCGGAAGAAGCAGGAGGGTCTCCTCCCTGACCGGGTGTCCGGGAAGGTGGCTGTGCCGCGGGGGGTGAAGGCTGGAGCAAGGCA